TTTTTGTTCTAGGTTTATGAAAAGTTTTATTTGTTAATTCATTCGCAAAATTATTTTTGTCAAATGTTTCAAACTACTTATTAGTAGCTAAATTAGTTAAACCAATGTTTTTAGATATCAAGATTGATTTGAGCTGATTGTATACTGACGTAGTATCAATTCAGAATAAAAAAATTTCTATAAAGCAATAAAGTACGCACTAACAAGAAATATTTAAGCACAATATTCTAATTTTTCTTGCATATTCCAAGGAAATACTAAAAGTCTTTCAAAACTAAGGGTATTTTTTTAATAGTTAATAAGGAAATGTTTTAGTTGAATTACTGGTGAACCATTGAAAGTTCGTGTGCACTGGACAGCTATTTCATTGTGTATTCGATTTCTTGTACGGTCTATATGGATTCCCACATGTATGGAGTCCCCATACTACAACAAAAAATACCTAATCAGTACTTGCTAGTTATCAATAATCCACCGGTAGAAACTAGTTTGCATTACGGGGTTGTGAAGATTGTTAAGTTACACAATTTTGAAACCATGAATCGATGGTTACCGTTGGATACCGGCTCAGTGGTCTAACGGTTAGGGCTTTCGCGCACAGTACCGAAGGTCCTGGGTTAGAATCCTGCGGGGTGCAGGAGTCGTGGATGCGCACTGCTGATGAGTCCCATACCAGGACGAAACGGCCGTCCAATGCTTCCAGGTTTCTAATGGTGGTCTAACATTGATCGATTCATGGTTTCCAAAATGAGAAACTAGTTTATCACAAAAATTATCTGAAAACAAAAGATGCTTCACAAAAATTTACCTGTATTTTTTCAATGAAAATGAAATCTGACTGTAATTCCATTAGTAAAATTGTAAGTATACATACAATTCTATCTATAAAACTACCTAGAAGCTGTTCATCAATGTAAAATAAATAATAAATCAAAAGAAATACTTGATATAAACAAGTTACTGACAGGAACTTTGAATAGATCACCGCTTAACATCAGTTGACTGGGAATCTTTTTACTTTGAAAAGGATAATAATAACTGTTCAAGATCTTTATGAACATTTTACCGTTCTGTTTAAAAAATGCGTAAAAATCATCTCCTTAACTAAAGCTATATTTTGATTTGACTGCCTTTAACTTTCTTGTTTTAATTAAAATTCACACTGACACGCATCGGTCAAAGAAGCAGTAGTTAAGCCTGCGTACCACATGTTTTAAGTATCTCATTTGACAGACATTTACCAACTTTCCTCAATACCCCATTCTCATCTTAGCATGCTGCTTACTCAGTCATTTCATAATAAGCAAGCAATATTTTCAAGATACCTAAGAGAAAGAAAAGTGATCTTTTAAATAATTAACATAATCACACAGGGAATCGTTGCATTATCAGTTAAGATTAAATAATACTGTCGTTGAAGCATTGAAAAATGTTTGTGAGTTAGTCGTTCGATAATTCTGGACAGTAATTATTCATCTGTTGGACTAGTTATTTTCACATCATTTTTAAGCTAACTTTTTCAATATCGTTGAAATTATTATTTTTTATTATTTTGGCTAGTTCATTGTGCTTCTCATCTGGTTAATATCCTCAGTTTCTTATCTGCTGATGTCATGTATGTGACCAGAAAATAGGAACAATACACATTTACCCTGAACCCGTATGTGTTAATGCGTCTCACTTCGTTTAATTGATGTATGGTAATGAAAAAATATTGACAAGCACTCAGGCTATAGACTATTCTCAAGAAGAGGATTGTGTTTTTACACATTCAACGGTGGATGCCGGTCCAGTGGTCCGATGGTTAGGCGTTCGCGCACAATACCGAAGGTCTCGAGTTCAAATCCTGAGAGGTTCAGTAGTCGTGGATGCGCAGTGCTGATAAGTCCCACACCAGAACGAAACGGCCGTCCAGTGCTTCCAGGTTTCTAATGGTGGTCTAACAATGATTGACTGATGATGTTAAATGTATAAACTATACAATATGTGGTTTCCTTACCTCGTATTGATTCCTACTTGGAACTCATTCAAATGTGTAGAATAAATTATTGTCTATCGCTTACCCTGGTTCTCTGTTTTTGATCATATATTGGATACTTGATACAATGTGATCTAGTCTCTAGGAAGTGTACCATTTGAGTATACAATAGTGGTAGTATAAACTCTGTCATCCAGATCAGTTTCATCATTGCTCGTCATAGCACTAACAATCTGTGATTTTAGAAATTATCACAATAATAAATAAATGTGTGATTAAAATTTACAGCTTTTAAGTTGTTTTTTTACCTGGAAATGATTTCTTTGTGCGAGTTCTCATTACCATCCTAGACGAAACCACAACATAATTCAAGTAGAACTAATCTTCTTAGTTATTCTCGATAAGTGTTCAGTTACTTTGTTCTAATGAATCTGTTTATGATTAATTGTTTTCATTTTTGATTGTGTTTCTATAGACGGTGTCGATTGCGTTGATCTATGATGATTATGCAGTTGACTCACAAAGACAAACAACCACAAAGTTATCAGAAGAAAAACTGATCTAGCACCTGAGCAATAACTAGAAAGCACATTTTACATTCCATTGTAACTGAGAACGTTGTCCAATGAAAGATCCATAATTTAGTTATCTCTAGCAGAGACTCATTACTACCAAAATATAAGCACATTCCAGAGGTACTCAAATAACTGATTCAATCAAATCTGGACTGACTATAATGACTATTATTCATAGAGTATCCTGTTGATAGAAATAACATGCTCATCCTCAGAAAGTTCATTCAGAAACTAAATACTTCCATGTTACGAATATTTGCAATGTTTACTTATATGTCGAGCTCACAGGGTCCACCCCAGCCTTTGAACAAAGTAGCTAATCGATTCTTCTCGAGTCGTTATTGACTCGTCTTTCGACCTTGCCAATTATTCGCTTATATTCTGGTTGTTTTTACGTAGTGAGTATGCGCATTGCCTACTTCGCTTATTACACGTCTAGCTTATTTTTGTCCAGCTACAAATACTTAGTCATGCCCCATCACATCGAGTTAGCTCACTCGCTTTCTCCATTTCGCTTCACCTTGCTTCTACACTTCATTCTCATATCTATCTGCCTAAATGAATTCATGTAATAAACTCATTAGCGAAACCGTATTTGGATTCTTATTACCACCATCGCACACATGGGGTTCGCCTAAGTATGATATGTGAAAAATGAAGGAAAGATTTTATAGAATACTCAATCATAGATCCGAATCGGAGTCAGATCATCGGGCCACTAAACTGGTGAGCCTTACTTCCAACTCAACGCACACACTAACAAATCATGATTAACCGATCAATCTATTGAGAGTGATAAATAAACCAACGTGTATTGATCTAAGTTGTCACAAAGGATTAGAAATAAAAATGGACATTCAACCCAGTTGGGAAGTCATCATAAGAAATACAGTTCAAGATTAACAAAGGAACTTGTAGAGTAAGGAGTACGCATTGACACTAAACTCAATAATTAAAGGAAATAGACGAGTGATATAAATGTATTTGATTGTGATTTATTTTGTGTCTTGTCGATTCAAGTCTTCGACCACAGCTAATGACTATTGAACTGGTCTCCACTAGAAACTCTGTATCTCCTTCAAAGCAGCTCAGGTTAATAATGAAGCCGTTGGTTTAACTATAAACGATGTGGTGACCTGTTTCTCTTATTCTTACTGCATACCAATGCAATGATATCAGTGTGTAGTAATTTGAAACTTACACTAATCAAGTACTGAGTATTTACTGAATTATTATGTTTGACCACTCCTTAGTCGCGTGACAACGAAGGAGCATATTAGCCCCACCCCACCTCAACTGAAATATACCAAATACTGATCGTTAGAGATTCTTTAACAGTGAGTGGTGGGACGAGATAAGAAGGTAAGTCCATGGATTTTCTCTTATTATAAAATCGCATGATAACAGTTCTATCCATTGTGTTACAGCTGGACAATTTTGTTTAGTAGAGCATTTTTAGTATGATCTTTGATATTGGTTTTATTCCTAACATTTTAGTCAGTACAATATGAGGTTTATATTTTCCAGTGTTATAGTGTCTCAATTCAACATGTTTTAATGCCAATTAAGTTGTGAATTTGCATTGAATATGATAAGTGTGACCTAACATCCAGTGTTACGACTGCATTATTCGATATAAACTGAATATGCTTTAGTGTCTTAGTGTATCGTTTCGTTTGCCTGTTGTTTATTGACCAATGATTAAGTGCGTGTGAAAACAGTATAAAAATGAGTTTATTAACTTGAACGACGTGATGATTTCAATAAACCTAAATTGGACTAGGCTTTCATGATAACAATTTACATTGTAAGAATTACAGTGGTTCCTGATTATCAAGTGTGAAGTAGCAGGATCGCAGATAATACAGAAATAAACCGAAGTCAATCAACGCTTCCTGCCGATTACTATTCATTATTCAACCCAACCAAATGATATGACAAACCAATCAGAAGTGGCCAAATGATAAGTTCACTGGATGACAATTAAAAAAGGGCGGATGCATATGATTGGTCAAGAAATGGACTTATTATCTATCAAGGAAGAATGTATATAGTTAAATGAGCACTGATGCATACCATTCACAGTGACAAAATAGACATTCTCTCCTACTCTTATCTTCTAGTTCACGTAGCCAGTTTAGGAGGTTAGTGAATATCACGCTCAGATCTTGGACACTGTCCACCAAAATGCCAACCACCCTTAAAGTCAATTCCAAACTGATCTATGAAAAGTAAGCAGACGATTATTGGAAAATAGTTCTATACATTTTTTTCACTGAAGAAATATAAATAAAAATATACATACTACTAATATATAACACATAAAACTAAATCACTGAAAGAAAAAAAGAAAACTACAATTTAAAAAAGTCAACATGAATAAAGGGTAGACCTTGAACTAATCAACATTCCTCTGAAAGCACAAAAACAAACAAAAACCAATCACTTCATTTAGTTGTTTGGCTACTCGGTTGATCAATACGTAACAATTGATCAGCTAATGCAAAATAACCACGATATGATGCAGTTGGACCATGTGTATCAAAATGACAATGTCCACAATTTGTTTGACTTTCATTGAAACAATGAAAATGTTCTAAGCGTAGACCAAGATGATGCTAGAAAAGAGAAAAAAATCAATTTCACCATTAGAATGATTGTTTCGTTGAAGAGGCTTCGTATAGTTTGGTTTTAATTTGTAAGTTTTATGTAAAATAGATTGTGATCTGAGTAGAGGTAACATTCAAAAATAGGGTACAGTTGATAGCTGTTTGATTGTGACATGTTGGGAGCAAAACAACCCTGAACAATATCAGCGCGGATGAATGTCACGCTAAATCATACTATTGGACACCAGGCCTACTGGTTCAAAGTATGAAGTGTTAGCCATAAAACCCGAGTTCAGTTCCTTTTTTAGAGTGAAGAACAAACTATTAAGACAAAACGGTGATTTTAAAATATATATAGCAATAAGTACTGGTGTAGTGAAGGAGAACAGAGGTGAGGGCAACCGAATTGTATTAATCGCGAATTACAGAGTTACTCAGTAAAATAGGAAAACCATATCGTAACCGTTAATTTGCAAATCTTCAATCCATTATCAATCCTTTGTCTGACATTTCACTATTCATGCGTTCCATACAAATTCCATTGTGTTCCCACCCTTCCTTTCTTGATCTTCCCCCATCTTCTGCTGCCAGACATTACGTTTTCACTCGCGTCATATACTACTTATAAGTAGCGCGCACCACACTGGTACACGCATATGCGATGTGAACAGAATAATTGAAATCTTTATGGTCATTCGGTGATTTATGTGTGACCTTAAAGCACGGGTATACGGATAGTACGCATGTGTCTGTATATCTATTTGTAACCTTTTGAAGATTTAAATGGAAGTTCACTAGGACGAGTTTAAATTTCGTTTTATTGATTTACAGGCAAAGTAACCTACAGTATATATTAATAGACTTATTGCGTATAATCAGTTTACATTGTAAAATATCATTTGTTTACTTTTCTATAAACTATTCATCTATATAAGCTAATTGATTAGAAATCAGTTGAAAATTCATCTGAGTTGTTTGAAGCTTGTTCGTATACGATATTGTTGTGAATTATGTTAGCTAGCTTACTATTTAGCGTTATTATTCTTAAAATAATTGCGAAAGATGAAACATGGAAAACTATTCTATAGTGGATTATTCTCACTTTTTTTACTGAGTTGAATAGTATTTATTGGATTGCCTTAATTATAAGCTTTCCTTCTTTTAACTCATTCACTGTTAATAAATGTTTTATTAACATTGATAAATTACAATGAATTGATTATGTGTACTTCCTACTCAATATGTTAGATGAACACACAAAATCAGATTTTGCTATCCGATTCTAATAATCCCAGACTTAATCTACGCTGCAACTTGAACTCAAAAAGGAAAAGGCGAGAAGTACGAGAACAAGGTGTTCAAAATGTGCAAAAAATCTAATGTGTATCTATGGTTTTTCGTATACTGTGGAAACATTCATAAAATCATCTAACCTACAAATAGCGATGTTAGACCATCGACATTCTAAAAATTTCATCCAGCTGTAATTGTATAGAAGCTTTTTTTTGACTACTTGAGTGCCCCCTGAAGGCTTCTTGGAACCATCTCAATAGTTTTAAACCATAAATGACCTAGTTATGTTATGTACAAAATGGGATTTCCCATTCATGGTCATTAGTGTACATAATTAGTGTGCGTAATTACTAAGTGAGTTATTTTTCTTGAAATCAGAAAATATACATAGTTTGAAGAAAGAAACAAATTTACATGGATTTGTGGGTATGGTATGGATTCAGTGAAAGTTATCGAGAGGACTATTAGAGTAAAGAAGAACACTCATCATTTAATGAACAGAATAAAATCAGCACACATTACTACTGTACACCAAATAAGGAAGAAATTTCACTTTTGAATATTACCACCTTCAAAAAGTTAAATTAATTGACAAAGTAATGGGGGAAAAAAGAGCAATAAAAAATTAACACATGATATCAATGTTTACCGGATCATGTGATACAGCTATTCCAACTGAAATCACAGGAGATTCCATTTCAAACATTTTAAGCCAATTGCGAAGTTTCTCACCGGAATCAATAGGTTCTTGTGAGAATTCAGGCTGTAAATCAACAAAAGTAGGCGAGATCAATGGGATGACAAAACAATCAAGAACAGTATATATCTGCTAAAATGAATACCATTATTATTGATAATCGCACGGAGAAAAACAAAACTAATCACCTAATAAGTCGTTGACTCAAATTTTATTTCAGTTTCAGGGACCGATTACTAGAGGTGACGGTACCTACTAATCCTCAGTGGGGTTTTTCTCTGTGTGAGTTCAAATCTCATCTCTGTTGTTTGAAGATATTTCAGCTGTCTGCGAGCTGAAAAACTCCTACACATGAGCCACAATATAACAGAACCTTTACTTCGAAGTTAATTAATATACAGAAAACAAAAATTATTTGTAAGTTTACAGATGGCCTTAATCTTCTAAAAGCTTCCAGGAACTCACTGCAATTAATGACAGAATAAATAACTATCGAATCAAAAGTGTAACACATAACCTTTCGTTTTGTTAATTTTTTTCTGAGCCAGATGTTTACACCCTTTATTCGAGCTACATTATTTGCATGACGGCAAGTTTGTAGGAAGCGACTAAAGGGGGGTTAAGCGCTCTAGAAATTCTGAGTTAGATTCCACGTACCGTTATAGATGAAAACCGCCACTAAGATGTTCCATACTAGGAAGAAATAGTTGTAGGTCTGTGTCTTTTGGTGGTCAATGGTTGTCCAACCAAAGTCAGTCCATGATGCAAGACATCAAAATCTCACTTTATTATTATTATTATTATTATTATTATTATTATTATGTGGCTTGATTAAGTGTTATATGTTTAATACAATTCTGGAACACTCAACACAATCAACACAAAGAAACATAATGATAAATGAAAACTGTCTTTTTTTACATGTAATAACACTTACAATGACATGATATAATGATTTGCCTTTTTCTTGAACTATCACTCCACCTAAACCGACTGCATGATTTAAATGACCATAGTTTACATGTAATGCTTCACGTAGCATAGCATCGAATTTTCCATCACGAATACGCCCAGATACATTTAATTCAATAACCTTTGCGTGGAAGAAAGATAAAAAAATCTTCAGAAAGAATATTAAACACCTATAATCAGTTGACTAAATAACACATTACACATCAAAACACTGATTAATTGAATAACTGCGATAGATACATGTGTATCTATGTATGTGCATTCTCTATTATCTACGTGTGGATTCCATTATGTCCGTAAACTCATTGCTTATCATTCAAACATAGAATGAGACGAAATGCGTGTCTTGGATTCCATTTCTGCTAATAATAATGATACAAGCATGATTTGACTTGTCAATGACACAACAATACAACAAAATTGTCTAATGATGATATTATCCTTAAATCAAATCACATGAATAAAATCAGATACACAAGGTCATTGTCAAACACAAATATAAAGTTCATACAGTACAAATAACTGTCAAAATGAATGATCGTATGCAGTTATCGTAAATGAATGAAAATTCACAACTTAATTGATATATAAAATATATGGGAACATTGGAAAAAATATAAACCCGATATCATACTGATTAAAATGTTACATTGAAAATAAAAATACTGTCAAATTGTCATATTGTGAATAAAACTATTATTATGCAATGTTTAAACTGAGTTACAGTAAAATTTATGAACACTAGCATTCTTATTCCAACTGATCATACATTTATGTATGTGTAGAAAGATAAATGTTGATATTAATCGAATCAAAATAAATGATCATCAATAATTAGGATAGGAAACTCTTCCATGAATTTGTGACGCATTTTGCTACGAGTGCAACATCTAGCCTTTTTCCGTTCATTTAATGAATGAATGCTGCATATTAAAGTATAACTTTTACTAGGACAGTCAGTCAGTAAGCTGCAACGTACGCACGTACGTACACATGTACATGGGTTCAAGTTGCCAAACCACATTAGCAGAAAGAGATTGAATTGTCAATTTAAATCTCATAGTGGTAGATGTAGTAGAAGTATAAGCAGTAGTCCGAAAGATTAGGGTTCAAAGATATTGTTCAAAAAGTACAATCCAGTTAAATAAATTTGAGAAGAGAAAGATCAAGATTGTGAAGAATTTAGAAGATTAGAATTTATGAAAAGGAACAGAGTGGATGTACCTGCACCATTGCAAACGATTTTGAGTCGTTTCATTCAGTCTCTAAACATTGGTAACTTTCGTCTTGCGGACCCTAACCAGGTAGCCTGCACCTACCAAAATGACTCAGTCCACTTGTTAGTAATTTCATGGATTTCTGCCATGTTCTGGTCTGGCCGCTCCTCGATTTCTTCTAGCCCTTTTCCTAACAACAACATTGCTTACTGGGAAGTCCCAGGATATACGAGCAATGCTTCGGAGACACTTATGATAGAAAACCAGTAACCTACGAATATCCTTTACTCTTACTGGCCATGTTTCACACCCATAAAATAAGACGGAGCGAACTGCTGCACATTAAACTCGTTCTTTGGTTAGCACTAGGGGAGCTCATTTTAAGCTCTAACTTTTATTTTATTTACTTTTTGCGTTCGGCAAGTTGAAATACGCAACAGTAACGTATTCACTGAAGATACATGCGGATAGCTTTAGATAAGTGAAATGAAATCCTCAGTTATATGCAGTACTGACTGATTCAATGAACAAAAATCTGTCCAGAAATGCTTGATATACCACTTCTATCGAACGCAGAACGATAACGGTCATCCTAACACTCCATCATAAATTTATTTATTATTAATTCCTTGAATAGAGATGAAAAATTGGCTTATTTACATGAAGTGTTATTACTATCAAAAGAATTCTGCTGCTTAAAGTTTGATCATTATTATTTTAGTTTATATCTACAGCTCATTGGATTTTTGCCAACCCTTAAAAAATGATATACGCATGTAAATATCAGCTGCGACCTCCTGACAATAAGTCAGTCGTCAACCATTTATTACGTACGTAGGAATGCAAACCCTTACATATGAATAACCTTAAAATACTGCAGTACTTCACTTAAAATTGAGATAATATTTTATTTTAGAATGCTTCCAAAAGGTTCCATGTTAATAATAAGTATTATCAGCAAAATACAAATAAGATTAAAGCGAATTTAAGCAGTTTATTCTGTATTTCCAACAACATATTTTGAACAGCATGTATAAAATTATTAAATAAATGAGAATTAACTTAAGTATTATCAAAATTTGTACTCAATTTTCCCTGGTGGTTAACTTTTGTTTTATTAAAATAACAACAATTCATATTATAGAATTGTGGAGACTGATGAGTTTCATTGAAGTCATGAATCGATCACTGTTAGACTACCATTAGAAACCTGGAAAAACTGGACGGCCACTTTTTCCTGGTAAGGGATTCATCAGCGGTGAGCATCCGCAACACCTGCACGCGGCAGCCGGACCCAAGTTGTGGGGTAGTTACCCATCAAAGACAATATATGGGAACATGTAATATCGTGGATTGAGGGAAGTTGAACATTAACACCACCGAATGCCTGCACAGTGGTCTAGAGATTAAGCGTTTGCATGCGAGACCGAAGGTGCTGATTTTGATTCCCAAGGGCAAGGGTTGTGAATGAGAGCTGTTGATGAGCCTAGTACTAAGACGAAACGGTCGTTTAGTGTTTCCAGATTTCTAATAGTGGTCAAACATTGATCGATTCAAGAATTCAATAATAAATTAATTGATTGTCAATCATTTTATGCGCGATTTGATTAGTTGAATTCCATAGGAAGCATGTAACTTCTAATTAAGTGTTGGATGAATATGATGTTTGTGATTTGAGAATATTTTTGGGAATCGTTTAACTAGTTTTCAATAACAAATTTCTTAAGCTACTAAATGTCAGTATTAATTTTGAGTCCCGGAATGAACATCAACTCTGGAATACAAGTATGTCTGACTACACAGACGAGTTTAGAGTAGGACAAAACGCACGTCCTGGACTCCACCATCTGTCGACGTAGAATACAGAAAAACTTTTTTTTTGAATAGGAACAAATAAAAATTTCAGTGCGAATTATTATTCACTATTTCACTTACCGGTCCAGGTTTACCTTCACACATGAACATTTGGCCTAACAAAGCAAATTTGGTATTGTCAGCTTTTGTCAATAAAGGTCTATGATTCTAGAACAATAAGAAAAGAATGTCACAGTATGTTAAGATAATCAAATATTTAAATAAATAAGTAAATAAATATTTAAATAAAGTATTGATATTTTATTGAAGTTCATTGATGACTAACAGTGAGATCTAGGAAGTAAGTTTCATCCTACCACTTTAGACTAGCTAGTTGGATGCTTCTATATCTTAGTGTTGATCTCAACAATCAGACTTGAATCTAATACATTTTTGCCTCAAATTGCGGATGGATTATCCATCATTAGCTTGTGCAATGGATGTGAATTTTAATTGTATTTTTGTTTACTTGGACACATAAGTATTGGGCACCGAAATACTTATGCACCAAACAAATTATAGAATTCGTGTGCGGGCTGGGATGCTGCCCGCCTACACAAACCGAAGCACGTTATTTTCGTAGGAGGATCACTCCCCAAGCCTTTCGCCCACTGCTCTTATCCACAAGGAAGTAGATCAACGTCAGGAGACGCAGTCGAATGGTAGGCAGTGACAAATAATGGGTCCATACATCAGTCGTTCCCTTAGAATCCTGGGACCCATATGCACCATTGGTTTGGAATTATGGATTGCCAACTCCCTTAAAGTAAATCCTCTGTACTTATCAAATGGGTTCAAGCCCCATCCGTCGTCCTCTTAATTTCCATAACAACACCCTCATCACGGGGAGGCAGTGAGTAGGACTTTTTTGGTAGTGGTTATAACTAATCAGTTTTTATTGACATATACAGATTCTGAGATCAACTCAATACTACTACTAAGTAGTTAGCAATCCCAACAGAAACTGATCAACCCACACTCTTTAATATCAACAACCGAAAAGTACAAACTCTTATAGATAAAACTAAAACCTCATGTTGAAAACTTTAAAAACTCAATTCGATTTGCTTTCCGCTTTAATTCACTAACAATAAGAAAGTTGACTGGTAAAAATATGTGATGGGCGTTTTTTGAACATTTAAGGTAGAATGATAATTCAATTAGTATCGCAATCTTGAAACACGGATTTTGATGGCTTGGACTTTTACTCCTAATTGCAACTTAGGAAATTAAACATCGTGCACTGTTTTACAATTTTGTTGGTCAGTGTACAAAATCCTGTCGTGGTATGAAAGAAAGCTGTGTAGGACTAGGAGCTGTTGGCTCTTCGAGACTCCCTGGTTGGGTCCTACAAATAGTGTAACTCAATGGTTTTAGACGTTATAATACATAGGTTAGAAGAGAAGTCAGTGGCGCTATTGTTACAATTCTTTCATACTTTTTTCATAAACATGAGAGGAGTCCCCAAACTGAATGGATTCTTTCTGATTGTATTTTCCATAACTGAGTTTTTTAATACTAAATACTCTCATTCAATTCTCATTACTCGTATAACTGCTTTTTAAGTCATATTCATTCATATTCAGTGAGGTCATGTTCTATGAAAATCCGTAGTTCACGTAGATGATTATGGTGGAGTTTCGTTCTCTGGGCTGGATATTTTGGTGGTTAGGGAGCTTTCATTGTTTTTCTGAACAAAACATTGTCAGTACAAACTTCAAGTAGAAATGAAGTATTCGAATTTCTCCACATATGACTCTCAACTTCTCCTGTTGACCTCGATCTTTAACGGTTGTTATTGGCCTTTAGCCTGTCATTGTCTGACTCTTTATTTTGATTGTATCCCCATTTGATCTGTTTCTTGATCCTATGTTTGCCTATAATTTTTCTGATTGGTTGATAAATTGGATCAATGTCGATGTTTTTGTTGATTGTCGAACAATCTGAGTGCAAAGCTTATAAAAATTCCCTAGTGTTCTTTGTACTCCCTCTATCGAGTATTTCAACATTTTTCTAACCGAATGTATTTCCACAGTCGTCTGCACGTATTGATATAAAAGAACTGTCATGGTGCTTGACTGCCAATTGTTCACGTAGACGAAGATGAAGAGAACGTCCACTTTGTCCGATGTAGTGTTTTTTGCAGTTTGAATAGTTTGTTTTGTAGGTGATGTTCTTTTTTCTTCTCTTATAATTGTCCTTTGGTTTACACACGATTGATCGAAGTGATTCTGGACTATGTGCTGCGTCTATTCCAAATGGCTTCAGTAATCTTGCTGCAAGTTTCGATATGTATTTTGTGTATAGTAGGATGATATATATGTTAGAAGTGAGGATGAACAAAACATACCTTTTCATCATACGACCCATATAATGAACCATTTTTTACAACTTCACCATTTTCAGAAGAAATATTCATTACCATCTAAAAGGCAAGAAGTGAAACAAAGAGCGGAAAATGAGTGACAAATAATTAAACATAACAAATCACTCTATATAACGTTCAATACAAAAATACAGAGCAAAGTTACAATCAACTAACAGGAACAATAATAAATATTGAAATCTATCAATACTATGAACAAATGAAACATAAGACTATCATACATATCATGTCATTTACATTTACTCACTCAATAAAAATTTAGTATTCTTCTAACCTGTGCACTGAAATCAACACTAACCCAGCTTCCTTTTCAGGTCCCTCAAGAAATATCCTCCCATGGTGTGGGCAGCCGAGAGGTGACAACTGCTCCCATACCTCTAAAAGCGCACGAGACCATCTTGTTCACAATGAAATCCCTTCCTCATCTTTTAATAACTCTGATCCCCACAACTAATCCCTCTCGCGTATCTTTAAAACCACGCGCCACTAATGACAATGATCTCAGTTCACAAAACGTTATTTCTAGTCTCCTGAAAACACCCTAAATTACATGTTGGAACTTCTAATGCTTAAACTCTATGAACGATAGGACAAGCTTCCTTAGTTAGGAACCTAGAATCTTGCACTACTTATTTATGCTACATCCCTGAAACGCGGACAAGACCCAAGTAGTCATTCAATTGAGCTCACCTTATCAATACAAGGAACCGCTGTTTTACAAGATACCAATGCTATTTCTTATGGCCTTGCCGGTTTATGTACATCACTAAGTTCAAAGGCAGAACCGGCCCTACTAGACTGGATCCGAATGGACAAATACTTGCGTGCTGTCCGACTAAGCGAGACAGTAAGGGCTCAGGAAGATAGGCACACATGCCATTCTCTTTATTGCTTCTTCCTACGCTTCCACTGATTGCAGATCAAATAAAGGAGATGAATTTTATAGGGTCTTTAACCTTCACAAGGCTACATTCTGGTGTAGAAATAAAGATTGGTGATTTTAATGCCCAAGTAAATAGACCAAACTAAACCGAAAGGCACGTGTGTGGGTCTCATGATGTATTGACTCAACAAGCAGATAATGGTGATTGTTTGCTATATACATACTGTTAGTGAAATTGAAAAGGCTATGGATACTTTGAAGTGGGGGGGAGCAGCAGGTCCCGATGGACTGAAGCCCTAGAAGTTAAGGGATCTTGGTACAGACAGACAGAGATACAACACAGAACTCCGTACGTACGTACATCAGTGCAGGTTGCCATATCACATCAGCACAGAGACGCAACTGTCAGTTCAAATCACACACAGTGGTTGGAAACCTTGAAAGATATGGCTTGAAATCGTTCGTAATGGTCCAGATGTGTCCATTGTATTTTACCAAATTCCAGGCCTCCGAATTTTCCACATCCTAAAAATAATTTTATCTCATTGATTTATAACTTTTAAATCGTACTTTTAGCCCTCCCAATATTAGTCAATTATTTAACTACTCTTGGATCCAGCCTGACAGTTTCATATCGGGATCTGCGTGTTAACTGTAGTTTTAAAGACTAGCAAAGTGAAGATACAAATCCTAATAAATATTATTTTAGTCCACCTCAACTAGAGGAAATTAAGTGACAGCCTGAAGTTCTTATCACATTATGAGCTGGCCTATGACGATAGTTCGTTTAGTCATACCAACCTGACTTATTCATTCTAGCATAAATTTCGATCAGATTTTGTTGTTTCATACGTTTCCATACATTTTAGATACCATTACATAATGTAGTGTACTTAGGGGAAAGTACAGTCCTGAGTGGCAATCTATGAAAATATTACGGCAGGAAAATCGAAACTAGCCTGATTCACAAATTTTACATTGTAACCACGATTTTTAAGAGGAATAAGGCCACATAATAGGGTGTATGGCGATTTAGCTATTGCTCAAGCTAGGAAGCTCAATTGGAGTGGTGAATACTTTTTCATATGGTCTATATCAAGATAAAAATTACCTCCGAGTTTGATCCAGTAAGAAAAAATGGTCCGCCACCAGCCCCGATTACAGCGCCACTAGCTACGCCAGCACTTCGAAATACATCTAAAAGGTCATAGTGCTTTACCAATAAATTGGATAAAATAATACATACCCTATCCCTTTTTGGAACAGGTAGAAGGTAATCAAAGCTCCCAACGTCACAAATTGTTCCTTTACCATTCAATCCTTGAGAATCATAAGAATAATTTACAAAGTTGAACACCTCTTAAAGTAAGACCAAATGGAGAATTTGTCAAATCAGGACAATCAACAATGGAGCACTTGACGGTTTCAAAACAATCCTTTAAGTGACTTTCAAGTGCTGAGGAACAGATACTTAGATATTTGGATACTACCAGCAGACACCTCGATAAGGGAAGGCTTATGGAGACCAAAAGTGCTCATGATCCACGCCAAGGCCACTGCTTGTAACAGACGCCTTTTTGGTTCCAGTTGGAGTGTACCGCAATCGAAACCTTACTCTATCAACTCCTGGTTTCGTTTATCTAATCTCATGCTGGCTTTATTTATGGTTGCCGTTTATTTATTCCTCTAGTGCATGTAAGTGCAATCTATGTGCTTATTCAGTCGTCGGCTCATCTTTTTCTCTTGTTCTTTCTTATTCCAGATAATCCCACACTGCTCCTCCTTATACGCCCCCCATCACAAAAGGTACCTCCAGGCTAAACTCAAACCAACCAAAGGCTGAAGTTACAAAAGCTTCAGTTAGGAAACCAAAAGGTTGGGTGGTCTGTGTTAGCCCTGTCATTTGGTTGTCTTTCAGTTTACTTAACTTTATTCCTGATGCATCCACAGATGGAGCGCCATGTCACATGTTGAGATATCGAATTTCACTGATGATTAGAAGAAATCATCGGCCGATAATTTCTGAGCTAGTGAACTTTTCCAGATTGTCTACGTAAGTTTTATGTTTTTGCATGCTAGGAAAATCAGATATAAACTTATTTGAATGGCAAGGAAATCGTTAAAAAATTTATTATTTAAGTCTTCGATATTGATTCCACTTCATTGATTTTACTGAATACATCCTAATTAAAGGCACTCAGTTACGCATCCACAAAAACTTACCGCTTGGTATACTGCGCAGAGCATCTACCGGCATCAACTGGCATCAACCAGTTCACTAGCTTCTCGATGTCCAGACCACGATCCATATTTGCCTTCGATACTCCTGATTTCTGATTCCTGGTTCGACTTCATTTTGGGTAATTTCGAGCCAAGTGATTCAGACCAAAGCGTTATCCAACTATGAACACCAGTGACATCTTCATATCGTTAAGCAATGTGAAAACTACGATCAAGCGCACTGTCGTTCTTCATTATACGAGAAACAAGTTTCATTTAGCCATTCTCTCGAATTACTACAGCTTTGCAACCGATCGATCCAAATTAGTTGCCGTTCTTTGGAACCTTTTCAACAGGTTACTGCATTTTCTGAGCAAGGGCCGGTTGTAACCACTTGATGCTCGAACTTAGGACAAAGAGATACCGTATGAAGAGTTAAAAAGGTCCTAGCATCGACATGGCTCAAGGCACTACGGATTGATCATAGGGCTACAAAACCTGAAGTGGATTTAGTGCGGTGGTGGCCTGACGTATAAATCTAGGACCATTTTTCTTTTTTAAGCTTCTCTAGGAAGTATTCAACGTATATTATCCTCGAATGCTAGAGCAACTAACACGGGTAAATATGAATCACAGGTAAAACTACTGACCTTCTATTGAAAAATTTAAAGCAAAATATTTTCTGATATTAAAGTTAAGGGTTAGAATTTAGTTCCTCACTTACAACAATTTTTACCATGCCACGTTTCAAATTTCACGGTTAATGCACTTCTGTTTTTCATATCAATGAGATCCATGTCTAACTACATAGTGTAACGTGTAAACTTATGAACAGATATGCATGCCTGAACTGATCCACTCGCGTAGCTAGCTAAGCTCGTATATAAGCGGCTTGAACATCAGTATAAACACAAGCAGTGCACAGCACAACAAACAAGCCTTTCTGAATAGTTTGAAGTTTTAGTTTGCTTCTTTTCCTTGCGGTGCTATTCACCATCCCGTTCATAGAACTTTTAAATACTATCTGAGAACGTTGTCGTCTAGATTTATGTGACTGACGATCCAAGTTTTCTTCATGGTAATGTATAGACCCACTATTTCTCATGAGTTGTTCCCATTGGAAATGCTGAAGTGACCATAGCCACCTCAGCAGATTACTCCAATAGGAATCTTTACAAGCACGTGCCCACTCATGGGTTACCATCTCCTGGCTGGAGCAGCTGTGCTTCATGCAAGCCTTGAAACTTAGTTGCTGTCATAATCGATAACTCATACTACTAACTTATCGCGTCTGGCTTATCATCATCTCTATTTCCCTTTTTAGAAACTTCATTAACTTTTATCCATTGATAAATTTAAACAGAGCACGACCGACAAACGTAGCAGAGCAAAATGAATTCATCTTAATTCGCTGTTTCTCATCAACTGCATACAAACCAAACGCACTGGGAATATTAATTAACGTTATCAAAATTAGTTCGAATAATTTTTATCAGATATGTTCTCATCTAGAGATTAGTGAAAAGTGGTAAATGTAAGGGGACAGTAAAAGGTATTCAGATTATAGAACTCTTATTTGATAAATAATATGAAAATTCTCGAAGAAAAGATAGATATTCAAGTTACGTATTCACAACAACAAGGACATGTGATAATTAACAGGACCAAGTTCGTTACGTAGTAACCGTGTCTTTCTAAATACACAATCTATTTTAAACCTTCAGATAGCGATTGCCTCTGCAAAATGTTTGAAAATGTTTGTCTCTAAATAGCTTTGAACTACTGTAGAATCTATTTTGAAGGTTTTGTTTTTGGAAAATCCCTCCATGTATATATATTTGCGTTATGATATGACTGACTCTTTCTGTTGATATTTTGGTACTCTATTTGATTCCATTTTGAGATTTTATCATTGCATAATGTTATTATTTCTATATCTTGTACTTATATTAAAGTTTTTATGTTTCCTTCTGAACTGTACATATGTTGTTTAAATTCGATATTTAATATGGCTGCAGCCATTTTTGGATTTGATACTCTAGCAGTAACGGACTGGAAGCACTTATTCTTCCAACAACGGAACCTATTGTGGTAATTGGAAACTCGAAGGTGTAATATTGTTTTTGGTAATTGTTTGTATTTCCCTTTTTAATTAAAATAGAACCGTTTTCTCCCAGAATTATCGTTTTTGATCCTGGACTGAGTGAGACGCGTATGAACCTACACTATTCGAGTTGGAGCGAACTGCAAGAGTAAATATCACTTTATAACTACTTTGGAATCTAAATATCATGTCCACTATCAAGAAGATAGCGAACAACCTTACTTTGTTGGCACGTTGATCTCTCATTCTCAGTTTTTTATGTAATATGCTTGATGATGCGAACATTTACTCTCCTTTCTGTTTAGCCAATACGTACATGTGAACTGGAATACATAGTTAGAGATTGTAGAATTCTTTTTGAATGTTTTGTGTTTTGGAAAATCCCTCCATGTTTACATATTTTTGCTATGATATGACGGACTTTTTCTTTTGACATTTTTGGTACTTTATTTGATTCCAATTTGAGATTTTATCATTGTATATTGTTATTCTTTCTATATTTTGTACTTATATTGAAGTTTTTGTGTTTGCTTCTGAACTGTACATATATTGTTTAAATTTGATATAATATGGCTACCGCCACATTTTCGGACGGACGCAGTGGCTGCTGGACTTAGCTTCACTTATTGGTTATTGTGTCGGATACTCTGCGGAGTAACTTAACCCTGGAAGAAACACAATTTCCAGACGTTTTCTCCTAGAATTTTGTCCTTTTTTGAATTGGTTGGGACCCGGGACTAGGAAAAGCGTACAGGAGTGCTTCTATTGGAAACAATTGGGACGGCCACTGTCGAAATACATTTACAGAGATAACGTATGTTGATTATTTGTCCACTCTCGAATACTTCAGTGATCACTCTGTTCGATGTGTTGGGGTTAGTGTTGCTGCCGAATAAGTCCTCTTGAATGCAAATCTGATACTTGAATCAATCTTGACATAAATTAATACCTTTTTTCACATACTTCAGTCCCCTTCACCTTTCTTTGTTTATGAAGTACCTAAAAAACAAGAATAGTGCCCAAAGAGATGATTTTGTTTATACCAACTCGTGAAAAGTATATCGGATATTCAGTAAATTATTTTGAATGATCTTAATTATGTGGTATCCAGTTGTCACTATTCTTTCACCCCAATATTGAAGTTCAACCAGTACAACTGCTCATCAAATACCCACCAACTCTGATAAATTCGGCAGTTTCTTGCTTCTTGGATTTTTTACCAAGTGAACCTCACAAAAATAGGGAAACAGAAACGCCGAGTATTTAGCGTACTACGCTAGGACCATGAGCCGAAGAATACTTTTCAAAATGTCAAGTAAATATCCGTAATTCTACAGTCGAATCAGTGGAAGCTTTGATGAGATAAGTAAGGAAGTTTTCTAAAATCTCTAAACAATTCAAAAAAACAGAATTTCAATAAAATTAATATCTTTCATTGGTTTCAGTAAATTGAGGGCTAACGATTCAGCAATAGTTGCATTCTGAACACATTTCTGTGTGGTAAATGAGTGAAAAACGTATTGCACAATGGAATATTTAATAGTGTATTCAAATCTGTAAAAGCAATGTAGTACAGCTTCATACTATATATAAGGCTGTTTGTGTACATAGACAACAAATTTAGAATTTTTTATGGAGGGGTGGTATTCATTCGATCACCTATTTGGTACACTGCAAACGTCTGTACCTGGCATATCACTATTGTTTGAAATTTTGATTTTAAAAGGACTCGAAAGATTCACTCCGTATGTTTGTTTTTCTTCAGTGTCAAGCTGTGTGTAAACTGCATCTGTCAGTTATTTTAACTGGACTAATTACGTAGTCAAGAGTCGGTGTGACCATCTATAACTATTCATACAGATAGAACGGTAAGTAGGTTAGTAGAATCCAGACTACATGATACCAAGGATGTTATTTGATCTTGCCAAAATTCCTTTATTAACACAAGGGGTCACATACTATGGCCCTTTTTACACAGCTCATGCTTGAGTCTCAAAGTTGGTCAGAATATCAAACGAAAGGATGCATGATGATGTTCCTAAAGTTTTTATTTAAACAGTTGTAAATGAAGTTCTTATCAACACTTACAACTGAATTAAACTGCCGTAGTTATTGGACAGACGGAGTTCTGCGTTTTTCCACCATCTATAACTTCTGGAAACTATACTTCAACACGAACAATCGCAAAGGAGGGATAAAAATGCGTAACCTCCCATTTATTTGTACATTTAAGAGCCTCATTCGAATTTGAAATACAGTAATTTTGATTGTGCTTACAGTGTTCGTTCTGACTAATACCGACTCATATATTACTGATGGAATGGAAATACAAACACTTCCGAACTGTATATTGCTCTAATCAAAGATAACTCTGTGTGTATGATTTGAATCTTCTAGAAACTTTCGAAAGTGCACTAAATCCAGCAAACACGTAAATAAGTCCCCGACTGGAATGTGACACAATTCTTCAGGCTTCTTAATGTCAGTAAAAAGCTTCTGTTCTATTAAAATGTCCCCAGCCTTTTCTGGGCTTCCAGAGACCTACTGAACAGATACTTTTGTAATTTCAATGAACATTTTCCACAGCAAAATTTTCATGGAATTTGTTATAAAGCGTGACGAAACCTATACAAGCCTGTTACCACTCATAAAACAAATGACATGATTGCCATTTCTTTCAAATTCTTTTTATACCTCAATTTCAGAGATACGCCTGCATCAGATCCTACTAATTTATCAATAATAGTGCCCAGAAAAAAGTTCCTCCAAGTTCCTCACCATTATGTGTGTTTCATTCGGGGCTCATTGTGTTTTAATTCGTGATCTTGATTTTAGTTTCTAAAGATATCGAGACATTTCTGTGGAGGCCACCGCTATACGGGTTATCTTTGTCTTTCTTGTTTGTGATAGTAGTGCTTAGTCATCTACTGAGCTCAATTCACTGAGCCCACTAAATTAGCTACTTCTTCAGACCTTTGGGGGTTCATAGTCTCGCGACTCGAGAATATATAAACTGTATGCATAAAGTCAAATGTATGTGCTAAAGTAGCTCCATCCGTCGGAGATTTTCTGCAGCCATTATCATCAAAATTCAAAACCTGATTTTTGTGCTCAGGGGAGGTGGTTGTTCATCTGCAGATCTCTGTTAAGAACTACTGTATCCAGACAGTGATGTGACACCTCTATATTCTCACACCTAAGAAGATCGCTCTTCACCGGTATCTCGATGAGCTATTTTTCAAGTCCGATTTTACTTCTTCTCCCGCCCAAACATTTTTGATGAGAACGGAGCATCTATTCACCTATCTCTTATCGATCCAGTTAGACTTAAATCCACTGCTAATATTTATCCTGAAGTCGCTGAGCTCGTCAGAATTTCGGTATCTGAAACTTTGTTCTTTTATATATACATATATATATATATATATATATATATATATATATACAAAGTGGTTGTAGTAGGTCCACCTTCAGGTGTGTTCAGCAGCATAATCGAGCTGAAGGTCACAACCTATTTTAGGGAAACAAACTGTCGTAATAACCTAAAATACTGAGTTGACGACAGATAACTGAGTTAACTAAAGCATGGCTACCACCCAACATTGCAGACGACAAAGTGAGTTTGAATAACATGACACTTACCCGATGTGATAGGTGCAGAAGATAGGAAGCGGAGTGGCTATTCATATTAACTTCTACACGGCACCAAACTGACCGATGTGACAGAATCGCATTAGTGTTGGCTATACGCATATTGCAAGCCAGTGATCGACTGGAGGAAATTACTGGACCCCTAAATACCAAGGACCAGAAAGATAAACTGACTCCAACTGTTAGTTCGTGGGTTCGATGAAATATCCTTAGCTGGAGATTCCATTACACTATGTTTAAATATCAGCAAAAATGGTAAAACATCCACAGGTTGGTTCAAAAGTCAACTTGACATAGCTATTGAATGTTACAGACTGAGTATGCAACGCCACCATATGGACTAAGTGTGCAAGCTCCTGGTCGAGGATATCTGCGTCCACCTACCAACAGGATGTGGTGACCGTAGTGCAATAATGGTTGACATGACCATAAAAGAAATACTCAGGCGGAAAGAAAACGAGGCCTTCCTTTACTATACACTATGGCAACTACACGCACATGAGAAGGCACCATCTACACCCCATGGCGGCAGGAATGATGAAGGTTGACGAAAGATGACCATTAGTAAATAGTAGCAGACCTCATTCAAAATAATGTCCTACAGAATGTACCTCAGGCACATCACAAACCGAGGAAAAGGAGAGCTTGAGTTTAAAGGAACACTAAGCGCTTGCTGCTAGCGAAAAAAGTAAATATAAGGTCACTCTGAAAGATTTCAATCGCATTTCTTACTTTAAACTAAGAAATGGATGTAATACCTAGGTTTGAAAAGATAGACAGACGAAGCTAGCTACCCAAATACAGATAAACCCAAAGTATCTCTTTCCGTTCATGAATGAGAAAAAACCCACGAACCAAGGTGCTTGCGCTCTCAATCGCACAAATGGTCAAGACCTCACAGACCTAGGGACGGCCGAGATCTTTTACACCAACTTCAGCTACACGTCCAGAGTACGGCTCAAACTGAGAGCAATCTAAAGGCCTAGGGAACATCATACTAACTCCTAACTTAATACTAATAAAACTGGAATCTTCTAGCCCAGCAAAAGTCACCGGGATGTGATAATATTCGCCCTATAGTCTTGAAACAGTGTCCAGAAGACCTCGATTCGCGGGCGAGTGACCTGCTCAAGCATTCACTGAAGTCAAATCGACCCCCAGCTGAATGGAAACAATCTTCAGAGGTGGAGATATAAAGGATACAGACTGTTACAGACCAGTCGCATTACTACCAACACTATCAAAGGTAATGGAATGGCTGGTAGACGAACAAATGAGGGAGTACATGGATATGAAGAAAATCCCCCATGAAGCTCAACATGAGTTTCGGAAAGGCAGGTCATAGCATCGGACAGTGGAACATCCTGCTGGGACAGGAAAATACCGATGCACATAATAATCTTTGACTTTGCAAAAGCCTTCGGCACAGTACTCCACGCATGCCTAATCTCAAACGTTGCTGAAGTGGGCTTCACTGACCCACTCGTATCTTGGCTCAGGATGGAAAGTTTCGTACCAAGGTAAATAGAATGCAAGCGAACTCGCGAGCATCCACATCGCCAGTTTCACAGGAGACCATTTTGAGTCCACTTCTCTTCCTGATACTTATTAAAGACCTGTTAGACACAGTTAGCTCACCGGCATTCATCTTTAATGATGATGAGATCTGGAGTTTCATTAGAAGCGAAGAGGGTTCGGCTATGCTTCAAAAGGACCTAGCCTCTATTGATGAATGGGAATTGGAAAAAGGTTTGAAACAAACCAACCGAAGTGTCACGTCAAGTACATTCTGCCCAACATGACGCAAACGGTTTACACCCTCAATGGAAGTCCACTCCCTAATGTCTCCTCAGAGCGCGATCGCGGTTTAATAACCACAGAAAGCATCCGCACGAGCTCAAACTATACCGGGGACTCAGCCAAGGCAAATGTGACTCTTCACTTTATGCGAAGACAACTTGGTGCTATCACCGCACAATTATTCTTAACGTTATTCAAGACATACGCGCGCCCACACCTGGAGGTTCACAACGTCATCGCATTCCCTCTGTTTGAAAGAGACATAAATCTCTTGGATCGAGTACAGGGAAGAGCAAAGAAATGGGTGATAGGATTGAAGAATAAACCTCACGAAGATAAACTCCAGCACTTTGAATTATTCCGCCTGAGTTACAGGAGAACCAGAAGTGATCTGATTATGGCGTACAACATATTAAGAACGCTGAACCATCCTAACATGAGCATATAACCGATGCATCACCACCACTCACATCGAGGTAATCCTCGAGAAATTGCACATCAAGGAGTGAACACACAGGTTCATGAACACTTTTTCTCATTAAGAGTCATCGCAACTTAAAATGCTGTCCCAGCCGAAGTGAATACAGCCCCCTCAGTGGACATCTTTAAGACGATACTTGATCAACACATACTGTCATACGGATTACCGTCTCCTTCATGGACAAGCTGTGCCTGAAACATGTCTTGAAACATGCTATTTGTTATGATTGCCATCTCCTCAGATCACTCAATTAATCTATCTCGCCCATTATCTCTGTTTCCTCCTCCTTGCTTACTTACACTGCTGTCCTCTCGCACAGTCTTCACTACCAATCAAAAAACTAAATTATCCATACATTACTTAGTTCTGAAATCCTCATATTAGCATTAGAATTTTCTCCCTATTATTCTCCATATTGCAACTAACTGATCTCCGGTCTGGTAATGTGATAGCTGCAGGTATCCAAAAACCCTACTGCCCTAAAATAAATGTTGCCACTCAAATCAGGGGACATACAAACTCACAATCAACTGCCAACTGACCAGAATCAGATAGTTGAGTGGCTAGACCCCCATCCATTGGATACTACCAAACTCCTGGAACCGTACCGAAAGAACAAGAATCGAGCTCAAAGAAATCAATTGGTTTATACTAGCTCATGAAAAAGATATTGGATATCGGATACAACAGCTGAATCTTCCTTATCAAAGTTATCAGGCTTTTTAACGCTCTACTTGCTTGTCCGGGATTTGTAGGAATATTTGGCGGGTTCCATTAAGGGCGCGGATATTAATTTCGTGACTGCTCAAGGATTTTTTCTGAAATAAGCTGGATCTGATGAATTAACCAGTAAGTGACAAACGTTATCGACCGGTGAAAACTGTTTGTTTCTCGCTTATTTTTCTTGACAAAATATGTCGCCGGTAGGGCTTGTTGTAGTTACTGAAGTCCATACATCTATACAAACTTGTTACTGTTGTAATCTCAAGCTTTATTATGCTTTCGGTTAAAATACATATCAGAATATCCGATTAGTTTTGGCACGGAGGCTCTCGCGCAGTATTTTCGGAATTTTATAAATGCTTCAGTGTTTCGCACTCGGTCGTAATTTTCAGAAATAATAACCAGAATATGTACATAAAAGTATAAACAATAGCGTTTCGAATACCGTGAACAGTGAAATCCTTATTTTTTTTCTGACTTATAATTGCTTTTGTTCTATATAACCAGATGAAGTTCAAATACATCGTCGTAAAGTGATCTAAATATCTGTTATTTAGGCAGTTTATTTTATTAAACCTAAACTTGTAGCATTTTTATCCACAATTCTTTAAAACAGATAGTGGCTTGATCACTGCTGATCTTGCTTGTCAGGCATTATAAAGTTCGGTTCTGTGTAAGCTTGTAGGAAAGTTGATTAATATCCTCAGAATTCAGAAGTCGGAAATTAATAAGCTGACATCCAACAGACAAGCAGGTAAATATATATCTCAAAAGGTAAAGTCTGTTCATCAAATGTACACATTATGACTCCGATATCTGACTTATAACGACCGTCCATTCATTTGGGCAGTGCAAGATAGTCTGAGTAGTTTGTAAAAAAACTTATGGAGAAGCCCATTGATCACACCAGTTTTTGAAGTCAGTAACCATCCAGCTAATGTATATGTAAAAGTGAATGACGAGTCTTCGTGGCAAGTTAAACCAGTGATTGTCAGTTTTATTTAACATGAATCAAGGTCTATTATGTGCATTTATTATTTCTTTCCTTAAGTCTAGAGCATGACGTTACCCCATATACTTTATTCTCCAGTTTCAACCACTGGAGTTAAGGGTTTTTCGCTGCTGATGTCATTGTTCTTATCTCTTGCTTTTTATGTGGATTTTCTATATAAAAGCCTAGCTCGATACACGCGTGTCAGATCCTACCCTTTAGGGTTTCTTTAACTAGCTCAAGCTCATCCAGTAATTCAGAATTTCGTAGATAGCAATCTTCACAGACCTTTAATACAGTGCAACCATTTAATCACTATAGTGGGTTCTTCACTTTTAAGCAGATAGATAAATCAATATCACCTTTTTGAGTCATTCTGTGCCTCAATTGTTTGTGACCTTGCTAGTCATTTTAGTGTGTTTTTTGCCTACTTAACTAATGTGTATATTGTATGAAATCTACTTGTCCCTAGTTTACAAACTGTTCACCTTATGTAAGGATTGATGTACCCTTTATTTACTAGCTGTTAGTAGCCCGGGATCCGACTCCATTTTGTAGGAGCAATTGAATATGCAATGAAATAAATCTTCCATTTAGTTTTTGTATATCATCCTTACGCAATGGCGGTGATTAAATTCCCATTACAGTTTTAGTTGGATAAATTTACTTCATTCATTCACGAGAAACATAAAAGGGAAGCAAGGCGGAGAAGGCGAGTGAACCAATTCCATTTGTAATGTACTTGTAGATGATTGGCTTTCTCTGTAAGTTGTTTTGTGACTTGAAACATCTGCTTATCATAAGTTGAAGATAGAAAATTATTATACTATGAATGTGAAACATACAGAGAATCTCAAGATAATATGCTAGAAAGTTTAGCGTGTTGAGAAGTGTTGAGTAAAAATTTAGAGGTCGAAATTAGTCATAATAATTCAGATCCAATAACTTTTTGTATCTCAGTAAAATGTAACCATGTTTGCCGTTACTTTGCTCCTTATCCAATTGAATTCATTAGTTGAAGTGGTTGGGACTTGTGTTACGTATGGCTAACCACCGACTGCCTCGACGAGCTATGTTTTGTGGTGTAGCAGTAGGTTGGAAGAAAGCTAGGGGCGGCCAGACCAAAACATGGCAGAAATCCATGAAGTCACTGATAAGTGGACTGAGTCATGCTGGTAGATGTAGACTACCTGGTTGGGGTCCGCGAGACGAAAGTCACCAATGGTTAGATACCTTGAACGACATGGCTCAAAATCGTTTGCAATGGCGCAAGTGCATCCATTCTTTGAGCTCTCTCAAATCCTAATCTTCTAGATTCGTCAGCACCTCTACCTTTGCCTTTCTAACCTTATCTCACTGAGTCATATTTCTTGAATAATATCTTTAAACCCTAGTCTTCTTCATTACCATTAATACCCCTACTATCTTTATCACTATGGAATTTGATTTGACATCTGTGTCTCTGTGCTCATGTGGTATGGCAACATGAACTTATGTACATACGTACGAAGTTCTTACGTTGCAACTGACTGACTGACTGAATTGAATTCTTCTAGTTAGATTTAAAATGTTTCCCTTTCTATTGACTCTTGTATCCATGCTACTGCTGACAGAAACATGGTTAATTTAGTACGTTATGTATTCTTTTTTTTTGCTATAAATATTAAACTCAGGTCACATAATCTTCAATAATGACACATTTGGTGTTCATCCACCGATAGACGCTACTATATAACCGTTGTCTATTGGAATTTCAATGCTATTTTCTAAATAAAAAGTATTATTATCATCGAACTGTTTTCAGCGTATATGCATATTAACGAGGTTATGAATATGGAATTTCTTGATTCATCCATTTCATAGTTGGTCTTATATTTTGTCTATATTCTTATTACCACGTGGCCACCAGATCTCAGTTGATCACAAGTTTTACTTGTATGGTTATAAGCTTCCCTCAGCAAAATAATTCAATAACTATCTCCCGGTCCACATGCTATTGCAACCTATGTAGGTTGGATTGATGTCATTGATACTACAAACTTGCCGAAAACGACATAAGAGACCAAATTCAAACCCATCACCAAAGACAGTATATTCATTTCCTAGTTTAAAACCAGCATAAGTTTGTATAAATAATGTCATAAAGTGAGGCACGTAGTTTAAGCAATTTGATTTTCTTTGTTGATTTCTACTGTTTTGCTACTAAACTTCATTCCCAGATACGGAAATGTTAATATCAATCCACATCTGCCAATAATGTCTCTTAGTAGTCAGTGAAGATATTTTACGTTATATAATGCCAGTTACTTTTAGCACCTATGTATGAAATGTCACTATTTTTAGTCAGGGATAACACAATAAGTGGTGGATATTCTATGCAGCTGTGAAAAAGACAAACATAAATGATGAACTAAGTTACTTTGCATAAGGTCTGTTTTGACGAAGTGAAACGTTCTACGAAACCAGGCATAGTTTACTTCAAAACAGCAAATTCACTGATTAGTATCTCATTCTTGTCCAGCTCTCCTAAGATTGCCGTGATTGTTACACTGATCATCAGCTAAATTTGTGGTACTTTTTTGCACCAAGCTAATATATTTCGCAACTTTGACTTTAATACTGCAAACGGATCTACTTTTTTATTTCCCTTTCCTACAACATAATGAAAGCTTTGTTGATAATGACCCTAATAGAATTCAAAATAAATTTTAAGTTAATTGGTTTTATATAATTTATAATGACTAGAACTTATAAACTGAATGGTCGTCACCAAACACAATCATGGTAAAAATGCGTTGAAAGTCGTCAAAATAGTGTAATTAAAATGTGTAGAAATTTAACCTTGCATTAACCTTTACGTACGCAGTTATTACTTTTAGGTTTAAAATCTAATCTTAGATTATTGTCTCAAAAGAACCATCGTCTTTGGTAGGAATTTATTACATCTCAAGCACGTCAAACTTTTGATCAAAACGATCTCTTGTATTGTGGACTTTATTTCAGTAACTTTGGTTTAATACAGTAGGAGCTATGTTGATCCGTGTTTTGGTTTCAACACTCTTTGAATCCATTCCGATTGCGTTTTAGCAAAAGTCTATGATGATCCTACTGAATTATCTATTTTTAATATATTTATGCTCAGCCTATCCAGCTTATAACAACAGACATGTTTGCCTAACTTCATCCTTCCAACTAGTCAAATATAATCGAGCTAGAACCTGACGTAAATCTACATCTCAAGTTTTCATATCACATTAGCACAACGAAATAAAACTAACAGGATAAATTGTAGAAAAATCAAAATAATGTAGTAGCAATTGCACTGAATAAGACTGGATTTTGAGAATATGGTCCAGAAAGACAATAAGAAAGTCCATACAGAGGAATATTGCAAGATGAAGAGTGCGATGGAGTTTCGTCCTCTGAGCTGGATGTTTTGGTTGTGGAGCTTTCATTGTTCTTCTGAACAACATCGTCAACACAAACTTAAGCTAAAAGTGAAGTATCCGGATTTCTCCACGTATGATCCGTAGCTTGTTCTGTTGACCTCGATGGTGATTGTCCTCTTAATCAGGCCAATATAAAATGCCTTGACTCCAGATAAGAGCTATCCACTTTCACTCTAGCATGTTGAAGCCTGCATTAATCACTAATCTAGTTTGCTCGGACGCGTAGTTTCCCCGGCGAGGAAGTCCTCAGATCATCTTTTAAGAGATTTGCACGCTAACGACTCAATGGTTAAGGTGTTCGATTTTTAGCCACTTAGCCTCAGATTCAAATCCCGTTCCATCTACTTCTGTTTTACCGACCAGGTAGTATCACTAGTATTCATACGTAGAGTACGCCTTGAAAACCCTAGTAAATGAGCCACAATAATTTTTCATTTGTGATAAATTACTTATGTAAGGTATTGCAATTCATTCTAATTGATGACCACATCTTGTTATCGGTACACTGGTGATAGTGACTGCTTATTCCAGACAACTCTGTAGTTAATTTTTTCTTTCATTTTTAAAAGAAACACTAGAACTGTCTTCAAAAAATGAATTTTCTTAGTACGCACAATTGTATTCATAACATAACGCATAAAACCTCGTCATGCATGCATACATTTTATCTTTTGAATGATTAATCA